CTCTATGACCAGCTTCATGAATGTTATTTGCCTAAGTATTCTGGGTCCTTAGCATAGTTGAGATGATTCTTCGTTGAGAATTGGTCTTCCCTTGACTACTTCTGCACATGTGTAAGTTATGAACAAAATATAACCGTTATAAATGTTAAATAATAATAATAACGGTGATAGTCGAGATCCGGAGGTAGCTGAGGATCCTGGATATTTGGTGGATATTGTCCCTAACGATAATAAAATACAGAGTGAACACTTCCGACCTGCTAAATTACCTGAGAATACATGTATTTGAAATACGTCAACAAAAATTGTGGGTGGGTTTACATGTTTTTACACGAAGTAATTTTATAATCCAAGTGTTTTATAAAATTTCTCTGGTTGACTAGCTTGTATAAACACATATCTTTTTATCAAAAGTATAAAAATAAACGGTTTTTAAAAGTGTATTTAGATTCATTTAACAATATATCGTTTGCTCAAATCCAAATAAAACCATTTGTTGAATATATGAGAAAATCAAATTTATAACAAATATTTAGGGTTCGCATGACCAAAAATTGCTTTTTATATAAAGATTTTAAATACCCTTTTATATGAAAGAAAGTCATATCACTTATTGTGAAAAATATAAAATATCTGAATTTACTCTTAAAACCTTGTACAAGCACTCGTATAGTATATATGTAAAACTCATAAGTTTCAAATTTATAAACTTTGTAAATTCGTGTCGTAGTATTTTTTAAGTATTATCTTACTTAATTTAGGAACCGACATTTAACCAGCGGTGCAAACTCCTCCTACATAAAAATTATGTTTTCGTATAAAAAAAGGGTTTATATAAATAACTTATTAATTATATGTTATTAAACTTCAATCAGTCAGATCGTGATATTAATTAAGTATTATACAACTTAATTTCTGGTAATATTAACACTTATCACTTTGAGTCACAATCTATCATACTACATATAATCTCTTTCAACTAGTACCACTGAACAAAAACCTCGTACAATCCAATATCGATTCTATCTTATCACTTTGAGTCACAATCTATCATACTACATATAATCTCTTTCAACTAGTACCACTGAACAAAAACCTCGTACAATCCAATATCGATTCTATATGGTGACAAGACAGACTCAGGATCTATAATGAGGTCATAACCGAACTATGAAAAACGCCTCTCCGCCAGCACTTGCAAGTTTTAGTGCTGAAAGTTCACACCCATGATTATTTACTGTCGTGGAATTTATCGTTTAGGAAACGCCAATGCTTGTTTCAACTCGTCAATCGATGGTTGTAGCTAGCAACTGATGGCGGGATGTCAACCCATATAAGTCTCCAATACATAACTTATACCTGACGTTCCTCATTCCATAAGATTAACGATTATGACACAGAGGACTTTCCGCTAATATGTATGGTCTTAGTATTGTACAAACATAACCCATGCAGCTTAGGATATAATCCTAACTCATAAAGCTTTTAGAACAAATGTAGATCATATAGAGCGTCCCGTGGGTGTGATGGATCCTAAGAATGTGTCTAGGCATCGTAATCCTAAATTCTCCGTTATAAGTATATCGAACGCCTATAATATTTATAATTTACATGATTAATGCAATACAATATTTCGCAAATAACGACTCTTAAGTCGTGAATTCGATCATGTTATTTATTGCAATAAAAATCCATAACTTAATAAATTGAGTTGTATTTATATAATTAATATAAAAATATATTAATACATTTCCTTTCATTTTTACACGACAATATATATTAAAAGTTAAATTTGAATAATTTTATCTATTAATTATACATTTTCATAATCTGAGTGTTTCCTTCAATGTATGACAATGTACTTCATTTTATAATCGAATAATATTTTTGGTCATTTGTATATTGTTTCATGCTTCCCGTCAATACTTCAACTTATACATGTGAATTCATCATTTTGTGATTTACAATACCAACTTGTGTTGTCATAGCAATTTCCATATAATTTTGTGATTTTTGATATTATTAAGTAATATATCACAACGAGGGATAATTATGTCATTTATAGCATTCTACTATAACTTTTGCGATTTATTGAAGATCTATACATTTTCGATTTGTTATTTCAAATGCATTTGACCAATATCAAAATATGATGCTATTTTAATGTATAACTAATGTAAATCGTCAAAACTTAATTAGACACACATATATTCTCTCACAAATATTAATACAATAAAAGATGGGCTGTAGAAACTCACTTTTGTAGCGTGATCTTGATCCTGGTTCATTTTGGTGAAACTTTTCGTGAATAACTGCGAGGTCACATTTCATGGGCTTTAAAAGAGTTCCAGTGGCTACTTTGGAAATAACTCAGCAAAAGGTGGTTTACTTAGTAAATTAATTAATCAAAAGTGACCATCTTTGATCAATCTTTACAAATAAGGGTTGTTTTGGCATTACTCAATATTTGTAGGGGCTGAATCGGCCAATAGGATCAAATAAAAAGAATTAGCGCTTTTGTGCCCTCGTCTGATAAATCGAAGGAAATGGAACATGAATGAAAGCGAACAGATACACGAACGAAGCACACAAGCGCGTCCGATGATTCATCTGCCGAGAAGGAAATAGGAGAACGGGGGCAGCTTATGCTCTCAGCGACGGGAAAAGGCACCTCCGGTCGTTAGTTTCCTCTGATCGTGAAGGCTAATCACGAACGAAGCAGTGACAGGGAAGGCTCGGTGGTGGAAGACCCGATGAGGAGAAGAGCACCTCCGGTTCCTTATTCGTTTGTAGAGGGGGGGTAACGAAAGCGGATCCTGCGCTTCTTCTGTCTCGGAAGGAAGGTGCGAAGGTGGGGAATCAAAAGGGGGCTTCTGTCTCCGATGTTTGCTCCGGGGAAACACCCACTTCGGTCGGTTTTGCTCTCGGTGGTTTTAAAGGTACGTGGACGGCGGCTGCTCCGGCGGTTCCCTGATCTTCTTCTTTCTTTTTCTTCTTCTTCTATTTGTTATTTATTTGTTTATTTATAGAACTTATTGGGAATTGGATGTTTGGGTTTGCTTTTGACATATATCGATATAGTGAAAGGATGTTCGGTTTGTTTCTTGTGTTCACAGGGGTGTTTGTGGGATTGGCACTCGACAGAAGTGGGATGAGGAGGAGGACTGCCGTGGCGGCTGGCAGCCTCTTCTTTTGGCCGGTGGTGAACAGGGGGAAAGAAGGAGGGCAATGCTGTAGACATCGATCAAGAGGTAGAAGAGAGGCTGTCGCCTCCTTGTTTTCACAGGGACTCAACACACCTCCTGTGTGTTTCTGAACAGCCAATCTGTGAACAAAAATAAGAGAGGGGTCGAGAGTTCTTGTGGGAATAAGGTGAGACTGATTAATTTCTGCAATATGTGATCTTCACTCAAATTTTGGAAGACTTTTTAATGGATTTGTGGTACTTGGAAAATTTTGGAAGGATTTTGAGAGTACAATACATTCATTGATTCATGTGTGTATAAGTATGATGTATTGATTGTGTATTTGTTTGTATAAATAGAATACATGGGTTTGTGTGACATTGAAGGGAGTGAAGGTTGATTTAGTCTTATGTACTTGCTTGAATTTCTATTGACCTTGGGTGTGCACTTCAAATCCTATAAGATTGTATGTATTTTTGGTTGTATTCCCTTTTTATATACTTGTGTGTGTATATATATATATATATATATATATATATATACACTTAAGGTTTGTAGATACCATTTCTTGATATACTTAATATATATTCTTGTGTTATGAGTTTGTTTCATAAATATGTGCAATATATATGTATAAATCGAAACCCATACGTTAAGAAATGTTAGAATTGTTAATTTATTAAATTTTGATCTTTTTATAGCCCCTTTTTGATATATATATATATATATATATATATATATATATATATATATATATATATATATATATATATAGAGAGAGAGAGAGAGAGAGAGAGAGAGGGAAAAGATACAATGTTGTACAATATAAGCTTGATAAGGTTGTACATTGTGTTGTAATGTGTATACCTCTTAAATTTCAAGAAATTGTCAATATATATATATACATATATATATATCTATATATATATATATATATATATATATATATATATATATATACTAGGAATTGGTTGCGGATAAATTTAAGTTAAAAGCTTATCTTTTAACTCCGTTAAATGATTTTTATTATAGTTAAGACTGTTTTTTTAAGTGATTTTGTATACGAATGTGTGCAAATCTTCTATTTTTAGCATTTATCTGCTTTCTAAAATCATAACGTAGAGACGTTTGTAGTGTTAAATCTATTAAAGAAATTTCTATCATTAATATAATCTAAATTTCTTTGAAGTTGTTTAATAGCAATTCTGCAATCTGTTATTTGAGAAATCATGAACTTATTAGGTTCTTGAGTGGCTAATACTTTGTTACTACTCGTTTGAGTTGTTATATAATTTTATGCTTTTTATAAAAGATTATTTATTATAGAGTTTATAGTTTGTGAAATTAAAAAAAACCTCTAAAAAGGATAGTTTTGTTATAAATTAAAAAATAGTTTTCATACCTTGCTCGTGCGTGAGGCTCTATGATCTCTTCGTCAATCTTAGTGTCGATCGTTCCTTCTTCCCTACGTCCTTCTGATTGGCGGTACTTGTTAGTACTAGAGCATTACGATGAATAAGACTTCAGACTTTAAAAATACAGACAGTTTCACAAAGGATGGATTAACAAAACTTCTCTTATTTATAAATGAACTAAAACCCGAAGGTTTTTACAGTTTCAAACTATAAACCCAATATGGGGTTTTACTAACACATTTGCAGATTTCAATAGGAATGCATAAGGCTCTCGTATTTTCACTCTGCCTACAAATGAAAGAATAACTCTCTATTTATAGAAGCATAGAGAGGATATGATACAAGTGTTTTACGTCACTGCTGACCAAATGATCCACTAACTACATTATTGTGTAGTGGCTTATCTTTGGAAGGCTAAGAATAGTTGTTCATTGGCCGGAGAAATCTCTTTGCTGTATTTGCTGTAGATTAAGGTCTTCTCATTAGCATCATATCCATTGACGAAGATCTTGTCATCTGTTGAAAAACTGAAAACCTTATTGATAAATATTTCAATTCTAGATTTTGCTAGCTGGAGGATATAGGCTCTTTCAAGCTTTTCTTCCATGGCTTTGCTGGGCAGATAGGTTTCTTGTTTGCAGATGCCTATCTGTACTAAATGATGAGGATGATATTTTATTTCATCCTTATCATTCCAGTATGGGATTCTACTGTTGAACTTTAGAAAAATGTCTTGAACCTTTTTGCAGCATCTTGTTCTGAATGTTTTTATTGCTTTTGTAAAGCTTTTAGAGAAAAGATTTATTTCTTGCAGGTTTTGACTAGGATAGATGGTTTTTTCAAATCCTAGTTGAAATGCTTCATACACTTGTAAAGAGTTGGCATTTTTGTAGAAATTGTAGTGGCTTAAATTCTTCCCGTCAATAGTGGAGAATTTTTCTTCTAGAAAATTTTCTTCCGTTGTACATCGAGCATACCTGTAACAATACTCAAAGTCTTTTATCTTGATTTCTACTCGGAGGTCAAATGTGACTTCTTCAGTATTTTTGGGAGTTCTTCTTGGAAGGCTTCCAAGAATGGTTTTGGAACTTTTGGTAGAATTTTAAGGCTAATTTGAATGTGTTAGGCCTTAAGGTCTCTTCTGCAGTAATAAGTTGTAGTTCTGAGCATCTTTAAGTTCTTGTGTATTGATCTGCAACTAGCTTGGCTTCAAGAAAGTTATTAAACTTTTATGTTTAATACTTTTAATTCCTTTTGTTACCTTTTTGGTGATATTCTAGTCTTCAAATATACTAGCATTGGGTCCATTGAATACAACGTAGTATGGTTTTGATTTTTTTATTTGGAATTTGTAACAATTCCCCTGGGATTTGAATTCCCTTATCAGGTGATCCTGATCATGAATGTGTACCTTTAATTTTTGGGACTTGAATTCTCCTATTAGGTCTTAGATTAAAGTCTAAGGGTGTAACCATCGTTATTGGAGTTTGTACTCCTATCTAGATTTTTGTTAAATCCAAAACCTTTAATGGATTTGTTGAGTCTTTACTTGGAGACGTTGCTCAGGACTAGACGTTTCTTTTATTTTTAAAGGAGGTGAAACATTGACCTTTTTTTGTTCGATACTCTTTTGAACACTTACATTTTTTCTTGACTTATAGGAAAGGAGGGAAAAGAAAGTTCCTTTTATGTTAGGACATAAATAGTTTTACAAATTTTAATTAGTTTCTGACGAATTCCAATTCTTGCTCAACAAGAGCTTGTTTGAGCATAAGCTCTTGTTCTTTCTCCATTTGAGAAAGGCTATGTACCTGTAGTCCAAATTATGGATTGAGGTTAAAACCTCTTGGGTCATTAGACCACCAAAGTATAACATCGAATGGCTTTGATTCCTACATGAAAAGAGTATCAAACCTGATTAGTTTTTCTGTTGGAATTCTCAAGTGAAGAATTCTGCAAAGATATTTCTTTAATATGCTCTACTTCGAAGCTATATTTGGAAAACCACATTTTCCATAGAATTGATCGACCTTGTTTGTTATCTCCAGAAATGTTATTTATTAAAAAATAAGCAAAGTTTTTGTTATCTGTTCTTACTATAAAATTTACAGGTGTTAAATAGATTGAAAACTTTTCAATTACTCTTTCAACGGTAATATATTCTTTTTCATTATAATGGTACTTTCTTTCGTTATTCTTAAAAGATCCTGAGGTGTATTTGCAAATCAATTCTTTGGATTGATCCTCATAATTTATTGCTTTAAGGATTCCTCCCAAACAATTATCTGAAGCATTAGTTTTAATAATTAATTTATTATCTACATTAGGATGATATAGAGGTGGAAATTCTTTTAGGTTCTTTTTTATTTTTGCCATATAGCTAGAATCATCTTCAGACCATCACCAAAGGACATCTTTCTTAAGTTTACATTGTAAGTGGCTTCTTATTTTTGCAAGTTGAGGAATGTAGTCTGAAGCATATGTTAAGATTCCTAAAAATATTTGAACTGTATTTTATCTTCAATTTTATTAGGAAACTTATGAATATTTTCCAAAATATGATTTTGAAGACGACGACTTCCTTGTTCTATTTCTAACCCAAGAAAATTTATTTTACTTTTAAAAAGTTGTGCTTTCTTTTTGGAAAGAATGATTCGAAGAAGATCACATTTTTTGAGAACAACTTGCTACATTTAAAAAATGTTCATTTTCATTGTTGCCGAATATGAGGATATCATCTACATAAACAAAACAAACTTTTTCAAAAGATCTGAATTTATTTTGCATGTATTTGAAATATGGATGGAGCGTTTTTTAGACCGAAAGGTACAATAGTCGATTGGTAATGTGTTGGGGGACATGTGAAAGTTGTTAAGAGTTGTGATTCAGTGTCCAGTAAAACTTGCAAAAAGCCAGATTTACAGTCGAAAGAACTGAATATTGTTTTTCCTCTAATAAGGGTGAGAATTCCATCTTTATTAGGGAGATTATGGCTGTCACCTATAGTTGCTTTGTTAATATCTTTGTAGTTAACTACCATTCTTTTCTTTCCTCTCCTTATTTCTGCATCATTTTCGACAAGGAAAGCAGGAGATTTGTGAGGAGATTTACTAGGAATGATGACCTTTATTTCAAGTAGTTCTTTGATTTGTTTACTAAATTCTTCGACGTCTTCAGGACTATATTTCATATGTTTAACTGTCATGAAAGTGGTCGGGTCGATTAATTTTATGTTTGCTTTCATCCATTGTTTAGACTTTATTGGGTCTATAGGATTTTCTGAGCAAACCTTTTCAAGTAAACTTTCAATTTTTGAAAAATTTTCTTGGTTAAGTAAAAATTTAAATTCTTCCTTATTCTCCCCCATTTTAAAAAGGCAAGGTTTCTTTGCTTTTGCTTTGAGAGATGTTGACAGGTTCTGTTTTTTCAAAATTTGAATTAATTTTCATTGATTCTAACAATCCAGATTTTCCATTTCTATAAGTGTTTGTGATTTTATCAACAATGATTTGAGCACCATTGTTGTGGAAAGTAACTATTTTGAGATTTGTACAAAGGGTCTATACAAAAGACAGAAGTTATTTCCTAGGATGAAATCTATTCCACATTCTTGTTGGTATACAGAGGGGATATGGAATATTTCTCCAGTAAGTCTTATCTGTAAATCAACACATTTTTTGTTGATAATTATAGTTCCGTTTGCTGTAGAAACCTTTATAGGTCTTGGATTGTTAATATGATGTTCTTTTGGAATAACATATTTACTTGCGATACAAAGACCGACTCCTGTATCAATATTACGATTTAAATCAATTTGTTTATATCCGACAAATCTAAATGTACCTTTAACATAGATCGAATTAGGATTTGTGATAGTTAGTATCACATTTTTAGAGTTCATGACCTTTGAATCAGTCTGAATCAGTACCTGATTATGTAGATGAAGAAGATGATGATTCATCAAGAGGTTCTTCAATCAATATGTAGACAATTTGTTCATCTTGAAATTGTTCTTCTATAGGCCTAAGGTCCATAGATGATGCTACTTCAAGGAGTTTAACCTTTTGTGGGTAATCTTTCCTATTAGGACACTCATTGGCATAGTGTCCTTCACTGCAAACCCAACATCTGCAATCCTTTTTATTTTTCGGTAAAAATTTACTTTTGTCTTTTGTTTTTTGAAAATGTTTTGGTTTTTGGAAATATTTTCCCGGTTTAAACCGTCTAGTATTTTTCTGTTTTGAAAATCTTTTGCTGTTCTTTTTTGAATATTTATTAAAGAATTTCCTTCAAGAATTATTTGTTTTATGGGTAGTTTTGCATCCATACTCTAAGGGTTTTTCTTGTGTCAAATGATTACAAAAAGTTTTGTTAAAACGTTTTAGTCTTTTTTGTGTGTTTGATAGTTTACATTTTTTTTTTAATTTCGTCAATACCAATTCTCTTAGCAAAAGCAAGATTGTAAATTGTGGCATTTGTAGATTCGGCTATAAAATTGTTATGAGATTGTTGTCTTACAATAGGAATTTTTAATAGATATTGTTTGATCAACTCGGGATATAGGGTTGAATCATTTATTTTGTAAAGATTTGTTTCATAGTCACAAGTGTAACGATCTAGAAAGAAAATATCACATATGGTGAGATTCATAAGTTTGGATTTGGTTTTTTCTTTCTCTCCTTTTTGTTCATTCGTTTTGTATTCTATAAGATCTATACCAAGGAACATCATGTAGATGGCATCAAGCATGTCTTGGAATACAGTCATTGAATTACGACTAATCCAGTTTGTATTTTTGATAAAATTTTGAACTATTCATGATGTTTTATGGTCAAGCAATAAAAGGATAGATTCTTTTGTTGCATATTTTGCTTTTTTAGTTTGAATGATTAGACTTATTTCCAAAATCCATTTGTCGATAACTCTTTTTCTATTTATTGCAATATTGTCAATATTGTGAATGTTTGTTCCGAGTTGGTTTGGATTTCCGGTGGGAAAATTTGGTATAGAGCCAGTTCTATGACCTTGTTCAGTTTTAGGTTTTTTTCTTCTTTCACCTTGAAAAGAAGATTCTCTAAGATGATCAAAATGTGATTCAGTCTTATTCATCCCGCAGTTAGGCTCTATGTCAAAAGAAAGATATTTTACTTCTTTTTCTTAAATATATACATAAGTTTCTTTGTAAGATGTCTCTTCTATGACGTTAATCGTTTCATCAAAGTGGAAAAGTTGTTTAAGTTCCTTAGATGTAGAGATTTCTAAGTTTACTGTATTCTTTCGTTTAGATTCAACAAGATCTAGTAACCTAAGAGCTTGATCAAGAATCAAGACATTTGATCGATTGATTATTAATTCTTCTTCTTCATTGTTATTCCAGAATAACCTTTCTACTTTAGATAAATAGTCTATCATGTTGACTTACAGTAGTCTTTAGGCCATGACATAGTATTGGGATTCCTTAATGATCCTAGTTTGCTATTTCCTACATTATAATTAGGGTATGAGTACTACATAGTATGAGTACTTACCAGTGACTGACTTTTTATCTTCAGTTTTACGATCTAAAATTGTAGTTGTTCTGTTAATTATTTCAATAATTTATTTGTTGCAAGAACATTTTTGAATTTCTTTTTGTGTTGCATTAATAATTTTAGCAGCGATGACTTCTAATTGGTTTGTAGTTACTAAGGCTTGGTTAATCATTTGATCAAGCTTTTCAGATCGTTTTTCAACCTTTTCATTTAATTGATAAAGTGATTCTTTAATGTCAAACATAGATGTCATCCCATAAGTTGTTTCATTTGATTTTGCACTTCTTTTAATCTAAGATTAAAATCTTTCATTTAGTCTGTAAGAACAATTTTATGGACAACTTCTTTTAACAGGTCATCAAAGTTTTTAGAAATTTTATTAAAAGTTTCTAGTAGTTTTGAGTTATGTTCTATTATGTTGTTTATTTTTTCCAACTGAGTAAATTTTTTTTCAAACTGATTGTAATAAATTTCTCTTCCAATTTGAAGGGCGAGACTTAAATCTTTCTTAAATTGATTGAAAGGTTTATTATTTTTTGATATATCTTTAGAAATATCTTTTTGAATTCCAAAATTGTGATTTATTTTGAGTGTGTTTAACCAGCATCTTGCGACAATCTGATTTATATTGTTACAATGGTTAGCGAGGGTTTGAACGCATACTTTTCTTGAAGAAGAAAAAGCATATTCTTTTTTCTGAGTAGGATCATCAATATTTTTAAGTCTCAATGATTTACCCTTTTTGTAAATATGAGAAATGTCTATCTT